GATATCTTTCTGTCCGGAATTCCAAGGCTTGAGTCAGGACGACATACGCAAGAAGTTGCTAGGGAAAATTCATAGGGCCGCGAGAAGGAACGTCCAAGACGAAAGCTGAGGGGCCAGTCGTTCGCAAATCAATCAATCTTGCAACGCTTCCAGATCTCTCGCCAGCCAAGAATTCGGGGTCCATCTTCGCCAGGACAGCCGTACCCTTCAGCATATAGTACGTACACAAGATCGAGCACCGTCGCTATCGTCTCGGTCACCGCAGCGAGGGATACGTCTGCCTCACCATACTGTCGCTCGTCTATTTTCTGCTCGGCTGGCAAGTCGTGTAACAGCATTGACAGAAACCATGTGTTTTGGCCCGTCTGCGCCCTAGCATCATCTGCGTCTTTGGCCTTGGCTTGCCGTGCCCTCTTTGGCAAATTCACCTATTCCTAACATCGGCGGACCGAGCTGACAGAAATAGACGGGGGCTCTCCGAAGCAGTGCTCACTGGTGACGTCGGGTCTGTAGATGCTGTATTCCGTGCGAATATCGGATTGGCTACATCCGCAGTGGGTGGGGAACTCGTCGCATAGCGTTTGAGTGGCGTCGTGAACAACGCGCTCGAGCTTCTGTGTCTCCGTGAGAAAGAGCTGCCGGCTACGCACCTGCGAAGAGCTGGTGGCGAGGGTCGAGTGTACCGAAGCCTCCATGTTCATGCAGTCAGTTCGCACCAGCCGAGCGCGTGCCGTGTCGTTCACGACATATGTGCAAGTCGGAGACCATGTGTCGCGGGACAGTCAGCCAGAGACTGACTACGTGATGCGCATCAGGGCATATATCCACAAGGGGAATTCAGCAACAAACATGCCCGACTCGCCCAGTTTCTCCCAGTCACTGGCATAGAGTGCACCTTGTCAGGGTTCATTCAAACGATGGGGCATGGAAGACCAGCCCGAGATATTGCATACCCGTTAGCCAGGAAGTTGCGACGGCAAATGGTGTGCGCGTGCGATGTCACGACCAGATCTTCCATCAGCCATTTGGCCATGCTGAGGCAAAATTGGTATCAAGAACTATGTCTCAGAGGATTCAAGAAGCCACTGTGCCAGCACTCGACGCATCGGCGGAGGATTCGTTCAGATGGCCACTAGAGTTCATGGTGGAATTTCCCTATCATTTTACGTTGAGACATGGAGCACGCGACTGTCCGATTGGAAATCGGGCGCGGCTTCTGACATGGGCAACATCGTGCAGCTACACCATCCGACGAAAGCTTGGTTAGGGATTCGCTGCGGGATGTGCTGCAGTAGGCCGTAACAGGCTTATCAGAACCCCTGCGTCAGCTAGCTACCATTGAATGCAGATCGTACAGTACAGTGTACGATTGTGTTGATGATCAACGACAACGCATGACCGACGGGCTATACGGGAGAGGGACAAGGCATCGTCATGGCTGTCTGATGGGATAATGATAAACAACCCAGCCTGGGTGCCAAGCTGAAGAACAAGAAAGATGCAGTAGCACATGCTGCCTGCGCGCCAACTCCCATAAGACGGGCCCGTCATGACTCGCAATGCTGTACCCCCCACACCATTCTGGCACGAGGGCCCATGTATGAGGCTTCGTGTACAGTACAAGGATTCATGTCTGGACCTGCTACACACTCGCGATGGCAAGCCAGAACCGGCTTAGGGAAGATGGCCAATAAAGGGAATGTCTCTGGGCATCGAAGTTGACCGGCTGGGTAAGCCTGCGGGTCAGCTCAAAGATACTTTCTACTTGGAACTGCACTGAGCTACAAAAGCAGCCAACAGCCGCAACGGATTGCCACGCCGCCTGGCTCCAGTTTTGCCTTTCTGGGCGCACCGCCCGACCGTGCAATGCGAGCACGATATAGCTGCGACCCAAATCAGTTTCTGGCTCGCAACATCTGGATTTGCTTCAGAGTTTTGGTACCTCCCACCGCTAAGAATAACGCCCGCCCGACCTCAAGAGGCTCGTACTGTACCGACTGCCACGTTTGCAATCCCTGATCGAACCATTTCGGCCGCTCAAAGACATTTCCAGAGGCATTTCAAAGCTACTTGTAGGTCCGTCAAGCCACCAAGCATGGCGTAAACGGCCGGTTCCCACCAGCACCATGAGGGAGGCAGGAATGAACTGGCGTGCCGTGCTGTATGGCCTCTGGCAACATTGCAACACCCTCAGCCCCTTTCGACGCCCTGGTGGCTGGCTGTGCCAATCTAGCTAGTGTCCGATACATGGTGAATCTAAATTTTACTGTGACTATGCGAGTGTCTCGATGCGAGCTTGATGCAGCACTCACAAGCCACTACCTAACTGACGACACGCACTTTCAGTCGTCCACAGCCGAAATTCCTTACTGTTCATGGCGCTATGGGGCTGCACATATGCGAGAGTAGCCTCGAAGGGGGTTTTCACCCATCACACGAGAACCTCTGACAAAGGCCATCACGATGAGACAGCATCGTTGTGGATGGAGACTGAACATGGGAGCTTTGAAGGCACAATCGTATATCGAAGACAGCGAGTTTCGTCTATTTCCAACTACGCGAGCAATTTACAAGCTGCCAGAGCCTGACTGACTGTCTACCTAACACCCAGCAGGTGACGTCCGTCATCCCAGGCACTCACGCGCTGTCACACGCTATCGCACGCCGTCATACACTATCATACGCCGCTGTCACGTCTTTGCACTGGCTCTATCACTGAAAAGGACAGGTTCCCAGGCGGCACCACGAGGAGGTTGCAGGGTCCGAATTTCGCCGCCCACATCGCTCGAGGAACAGCATCTCGGCGGTACCGTTGGAATGGTCATCAACAGAAATCAAATGAAATGTAGAGTCTGTTTTCGCCACCGTCGAGAATGTCCGCTCGACGGAACACATAGGAAACGCAGAAACCGTGGGCTGGCATCGTTGGAATGATCATCGACGGCACCGCCATACAGTTTTGTGCACATGTCGCTTCCTCTCTCACAAACATTCTCAATGTTCGAGAAGCCGAAACCTGCTGTGATGGGTCTCCACAAACCTCTGGTCATGGCTACAGCGACTGGTTTGCAAACGAAAATATGGGTCAGGATGGCGAATAATAGTACGAGTGGCAACGCGTAATTGAGAGCTACTCCAAAGCATCCATAACCGGCTTTCACAGCATTCATTTTCGCACATCTGATCGTGGTCGCATGTACACAGTAAGAACGACTATGGGCCCAGCCTGTGTGGGTCAAGTCCAAAAAGATGAAGTGTGCTGCCAAGAGGAAGCAACATATGATCAATACTATATGGCAGCGTCAACACACGATCAACATCATCGCAGTGGCGGGGTGGGGCTGGGAGCCCAGCCCACCAAGAAACTCCCGATTCCAAGTGGGAAAAGACCTCCCTACTCATACCCTCATCGACCTCGTCTCACCTTCTGTAAGTTTGCAACATGGAAAAGGGCAGGTTTGTTCGTTGTGCAATGACATCAAGGCTCCACTGTTTGCCTTTGGGAAAACAAACATTTTTGCATCTTGGAGGATCGCTTGGTGAGCGTTGTGGCAGGGGTTGGCGGAAAACATCACATTTGCGGCTTCCAGAGGAGCAAACGGCCGGCGGTTGTCTTTTGGCGGGCGGGGTCTAGACCAAGTCCAGACTAGGCGACGAAAGTGTGGAGCG